ACTAGGCTTGACTCGTAATCACCGGTGCACACACCATCTATGGTTTTCCAGGTAAGCAACCAACGCTCTAGCGCGTAGTTTTTGCTAGGTACTTGGTTAGTCAAGAGGGTCATAGTTGTTCCTGACAACAGAATAGAAACTCCTTACTACTCAACAAAGGGTTCAACAGTAACACTTCCTCCCTGTCTTTAGAGTGAATAAACAGTCTTCAGGCGCACAAGATGCATATTGGTTAGGTTCGTCGTTAGCAGTTTCATCATTCACCCACTGTCCACCACAGGGATATGTTTTTTGACCTCTTATCCAGAAAATCTCAGTAAAGAATACTATACAAATGAAACCTTTTGAAACTCATGTCATGCACACACATATACACACATAACCACTTTACTTCACACCGTGGAGAATGAGTAAGTGATACAGTGTATTTTTCAGGAGAAAGATTCATGAGTTGTGAAGAGAACTACATTCAGAAAGTTGGATCTACTCTCCACTTTCACAACCATGAAAACATAAACATTAACCAGATGACAAGATAATTTATCAATCATATCAGTATTATTATATATAGCAGAAAATGTGTGCATCACCTCGATCAAGGTAATGTGTGAATGATCGGGAGAAGTGATGTAACTCCTAGAAGTTTAACATACAAGCCAACAAGTGGTTAGTAAACAATTCAATGCGGACATGAGGACGAACGGCATAGTTATATGCTGAAAGACTAGGACTCAACGTACACTTATTTAGGATAATAAAACTAGAGGAGACAACGAGTCACATTTAAGGCCAGTACAGAGATTTATTAAGAAGTTAATATTTTATCGCTGATGAATCCAGGATGTGCTTTTTTTTCTTATTTGGCACTTGCCAGCTGGATGTTTCTGTCTTCCAATCAGTGATATTGCCCCTCTTGGGACTGAGGCCCAGGAAAAATCGCTTAAAATGCCAGAACGTTATTCACTAAGCCTCTGAGTCATAATAGTCACTCCTTGTGCAACGGGTACAGTATAGTTTTTTAATACTATACGAAGTACAATGAGAACTTCAGTCTACTTTAAGATCGGTCTAAAATCAACCTAAATTCAATGGTACTGGGAAATTCCCTCATATCAACTAGCGAATTTATTCAAAGGTCCGTCTTCATGACCACGTAGAGGATACTAAACATAAAATGCTTAAATTTTGTATTGAGTAGATCAACTTGTGAACCAGTCAATTGAATTTTAATGGCGAAATTCCTCGTATTCAATATAAATCATGAGCGAATGTTCTCAGAGTCTTAAGATAAGTAGTAAATGAGTGCTCAGCATCTCTGATTATTCAAAAGTTTGACACTAGTTTCGCATTCATTAACCTTTGGTATTTTCTTGTGGATGTTTCATTACTAGGCTTGATGATATTCTTAGGAGTAACTTCGATTTGCACCAAATTGTATTGAAAACTGCCATATCATATATATTTTGCATAGAAACGATAAGAATTAGAATTTAAAATATCTGACGCCCTTTTCATTTTTAAGTTTTTTTATAGCGGAAAGGGAATCACCATCGGAGAATGGTTGTTTCAAGACAATAGTATACATTACCATTACTAATTGTACTATAAAGGCAAACTACAAATTTTATGACTAATATTCACTTCTTTGTTTTTTCTAAGAATTCATATTGAGGAAGGTTGTGATGCGACTTATTGACTGACTTTCTGATGAGGCATTTACAAAGTTGTTGTTGCGCATGTATGTGTGTATATATGAGAGTGTTTTTCTCCTCTTCGTAAAAATCACCACCTCATTAAGTAGCCTAACGTCTTAGTACTATATATCAATTATTCAAAATGTAGTCACAGCATCACCTGCCAAAGAAATGTATTCGACAGACGGTAGTTCTAGTGTGTTGTTTTTTTTAAAGGGAAAGGGAAGAAAGGCGATGGGATATGCAATTCTTTTTATGCATAAACTCACGTTTAGTCAATTTCCCAACAGACATAATATTTTCTTCTATAATAAGTAGTAATCTCTTCTCTTGCCTTCCACCTATTCCCCATCGAACCATCTAGCCCACTTCCTCCTAACTTTTTTGTTTATCTTACACATTTCAGTAGAATTTATACATATATTTATCCATGCGTTGAAATCACAAATGCTAGAAAAGGTAGAAAATAAACTTGGAATCTCTACCCCACCCACAACCCCAGTTGTATGCATTATACATGAGAAGTATTTTTTTAAATTTTAATTTCTGCTTAAAAGTAGAAAAGAGTAGTATGTGTACTACTTCTTCTTTGAAATGAACAAAAATCAATCGTCTTGTCATTCAGCTTACACTTCAATAGTATCATCATCTTTATCGTCTAAGAATTCATGCATTACACATGTGCTATGCATGTACACACCTACGATTTATTTCATGTGGCATATTTTTTGCACATATCATAATTCCTTATGTATTCCGTTCTCCTACGTTATTTTTTTATTATCTCAGTAACAAGGATTTGTCAATCAGGTATTTATTTGTTCGAGAATGAAATAGATAGAACAATATGTCGCTAGTTAGCTGCTGGATTTGTATCCATACATTTGTGAAGGAAATGAAACTGTTTGAAAGCGACCACAGATGTTTTTCGATATCGCTTCAATATTAGCATCTTGTTTAGTTGTCTTCTGTTAAAAAACAGAGCTTTATTTTATTAGCAGGAATGAATGTACAGAGAATAGTTAGTTGTATTACTTTTTTCTACCATGGACTGATTTCAGTTAAAAATTTATTGAATTGAATTGAGACGGAATCGAGCCCAGAACCATTCTATTTTACAGTAGGCATACTACTATTTTATGGTTCATATTTTCCTAGGTTACTTAAAAGAATATCCACTGCTGGATTTCGATTCAGCGGCCTGATATTAATGTGCTCACTGGGTGACATGATGATCTAGGGTTTGGTTCCCGGTGGAGTGGCGGATGTGTATTTCTGAAAAGTCGCATATTAGGACACAACAGCTGTTCAGTGCTCTAAAATTTTTAGTGTTTCTCCAACTGATATCTATTACCTTACAGTCATTCATTCCACACAAACCTTCAAACTACTGAAATAATTTGAAAATGCATCTAGATGACTATAAAAGGGGGTTGAGATAGCTTCCAATAAAATACGAACTAGATTTTCACTATTTCCCAATCACTGTTTAAGTTAAACACTTGCCTAGCAGAATCCTATCGTAAAGACTACCGAAAATCGTTACTTTTTATCTTATTAGAGTGAAACTGTACAAAAGCCACTGGTTCTTGAATGTGTCATCAAAGATTTCTTGAGAATCACTTCAACACGTAAATTACAAGGGAGTTTGATTAATTCTTAGTGAGTTCTCTTTAATAGTCATAATTCAGGGATGTCAAGACAACAAGGCGTTTTTCTGACATTAACAATAGTATAATTAAAGTTTTAGCTGTTGATAATGATGAATTTGTCTACAGTTTGCTGACAAAACCGGATCTTAGCTATCTACGCCGAGATATACAGCAGGAAACTGAGAAATTAAGGAGTGAATGAAACTGAATTGAAAAATAATCAAAGAAAAGATTTATAACAAGAAGTGCGATAGTGTCGAATCCCTGAGCCAAACAAGTGGATGTTGAAAGCAAGATGCCGAAGAAATCGACTTTTGAATTAGAATTTCCGACAAAAAAGATACAGAACTTGGCACAACTGTGTATTGGTTGGACGTAATTGTTACACTTTCCATCAGTAACAACGGAGGAAATGAACACGAGGTAATGAAATTGCTTATAAACATAAGCGAGTTCAATACAACTTTTCACTAATGACGCGAATGCAGATGGGTAAGCCAACGCTTCAATACATTAGTAGTTTAGTTGCAAACAGATTACTTCTAACCGCAATCTATTTAACATTTGTTAGGTATGTGGAATCTACTGATAGAAATCCCTTATCGATGTGGAATGTTCACCTGGTGATTTGAATGTCCACTATCCAGTTCTGATTTCAAAAACCTTTATCACTAAGCTATTCAGACCACAACTGACTACTTTGTGAGTCGATCACATACACATATCTCTCACTAGACAGAGATAGGCAAAATCGTCATAGAACCTGGTATTACTGCTTAACAACCCAACTTCCCACACTTCATGTCAGCGCATCAGTCGAGAAAGCACTGATTTGAGAGTTAAAGAGGTTAAAAAGAAAGTAATATAGCTGTTAAGATGAAGATAATGTGGGGGATACATCTACCCTATGGAGACAGATTCTAAGCCGTGTCGCCTAGAGTCAGCAGACACTGGTTTTTGTTGTCACGCAGACTCCAATAAGGAAGCCCTTTAGGAATCATTCAAGAATATGTAAAGAATTTAAATGTCTAGTCCTAACCATTCAGTGAAGATTGCAAAAATTATTGCTGATTACGCAGTTTTGAGTTAAGATTTTTTGAAAAACTGGATTTCTTATATAACCTGTTACAGGATCATCCTTGTAAGTTGCTTTTGAATTCATCAATGCCTTGGGGACTACTTTTGGATAGTAAATAGCATTAGAATCCAGGAGGCTCGTTTCGTCCTATCTAGGACTCGTCAGGCGGATGTATCTGCCTCCAAGTGAGTGATGTCGTCCCCACTACGAGTTGAATCCAGGGCCGATCACTTCAAATGACAAAGCTTTATCCATTAGGCCACTGTGTCACGATAGCCACTTCCTGGGTCAAGTGTATCATTTTTATTTTGTTGCTTGTAATATCCCAAATAGGACGAAATGGACCAATTGAATTTCACTGTTAGCCGCTATTCAACATTAACACATGGGCAATATCGAGGCATCCGCATATGAGCCCTTATGCCAACAGAGACCGATCAATTCTGTTCAACTAACGATGGTTAACTACAAGCAGTGACATAGTATCTTAGGGAGGTTTTCACAACTTTAGCTATCATTAAGGTATCAGCAATAAATATTAACAATGAGAACGAGAACAAAACCATAAGTACTCACCACCGCCATCTGCTGGATCTGTTCTACGAATTCGACGCCCATGCTTTGAATTATTATGCACAAACATATTGTCTGATATGCAAAGTAATTTACGTTCAATTGCATGAGTTGATGATATTGCAACCTTGAAAAGTAGAACAGAAGTTATACTGGGATTGATCGTCTTTAAACTGAGAGAAAATCAGTGCTGACAACTTTGATGAAGCATAAAAATGTTAGTGAGATCGACACTATGATAACCGTTCTCTATCATGTATTGAACAAGTAGTATGTAAGTAATTTCAACAGCAAAGAAAGCTTGCTTTTTGATCATAATAATAATAAGAGCATTAACCTTACTTCCTGCATATTTTACCGAAAAATGCCTCCTCGAAGCAACTTATCGAACCAGTGATTGTCCTAAGCAACTTGTTTATCTTATGCACCTTAAGTCACTTCTGATATTATTATGAATTAAGCCGTACTAGTCGGAGATTTTTCCCTGAATCACATGTCATTTGCACTTGTTTTCTTACACCTCACCTTAGATGTTCAAGTTATGAGTTTTCATATTGAATCTTAACAAGTATCACTATTTTAGAAATTACGCTTACGCAAACTTGATAGACGTAGAGAACAATCACTAACTCTTTGTACTTGTTGAATATGCAGGAGACCAAAGCCAAGAAAGAGCATGATAGAGTAGCCAGATAGAAATATTTGATAGACGATGCCGAAATATCGATATGTTCTGACTAACTAGTTAGAGGATTGTGTATGAGTAACACAACATAACACGACATCGCACCAAGTGGCTCGGATGCTTGACCGTGTGCCGTCAGCCTAATCGGTATGCCATAATTATACAGGTCAGTATCAATGTTAAATCTCGTTGAACTCTAGGTTATTGGTTTTAGACAGCTATTTTCCGCTGCATTGTTGGACTTCAGCCGGTTTAAGATGTACTTTAACGATCTTGTTTTTAATTCAGTTTGCACCAGAAATCGAAATTTTCATCTGAAACATGTAGCAAAGAATGAAAATTCATTTTAACAATTTCTTAGTGAGTGATCTTCAACTTGACCGCCATGAGAATCAAAGCTTCATAGTTCAATATTGAACGGCTAGCTTGTAAAGATGCCTCCTGTTTGGTAATTCAACACTGAAAAAACATCAGCTTTCTTATCACAATACTTCAACACATATTTCGCTGCATGAAAACTGTCTTCAAAATAAAGCTGTTCTCAATCAAATTGCATTTTTAATGATATGAATAGTTCCGCTTGTATCTATGGCAGTGAGTCATTTACCTGATAAAAATTGGAGTATATACATATCCATCAAAATAGGTCTTAAGTGTTACGGTAAAATCGAACAGCCTTCTACACATACCTACAATAGATACAAAAGACATGCAGTCTCGACGTTTTTGGTAACTGGATGATTTCAACATAGTGTCCGTCACGGACTGACGTGAATTGGAAAACCATACTATACCTCGGAGAACTGAACAAATGTTCCATCCGACTATGTGAAATATCAGAGATGGGCACATATGACCCTGCCAAGGATAGAACCCAGAGTCGTCAGGTCTAGTGATAAGTTTGTCATTAAGACACTGGGTGGGAATCGAACAGCCCACATTTTTCTTCTTGTGTCAGCCTGTAAAATAACGTGATTATCACCATCGTTGACATGTTCTGACATTAATTTCCCGAAATTCCAGTGAGAACCCATTGACGGCTAGGATGTGACGATAAATACTCATCAATGACATCAAATGATAACTGGGCTATATTGTGATTTGACAGAAGTGGTAATGAAGTGTGGACTATTCGGCTCTGACTCACTGGCTGAATATCGGTGTGCTCGCGGAGAGGTATGAAGATCCCGAGTACGCATTGGTGAGGAGTCTCTTATTATGGCAAAACGACTTTTCATCGGTCTTGAGTTTTCAATACTTCTTTAGGTGATGTCCATCCGTGATAAATACTACTCTGAAAGGGACGAGATCCTCGCTAGGCTTCCTTAGTACTATAGTCAGTGCTAATGACAAATCATACTGAAGTTGCCGTTTAGTTTCTTTCCATTAAATGTTTACAAATTCGACCAAGTTATCCAAAAAGAAGCGGAAAACACCACTTTTAAACCCTATTGGTGAAATATCACTTCTAAAAATGAACTCTTGAAAATATATTGCTTTCCTTAGGGATAATCTGTATCATTGAATAATCTGTATACTCTTGGGATTCAGATATATAACGAGTTAACTGTTCTGAACATGCTGATACACACATACGCGCGCACAGTTCTAAAGAGTGGTTGAATGTAGCGAAATTTCTTGCTACATTTATGCATATATGTATGTATGAATAAAGAGAAATAAAAAAAGGTAAGATAGGTTAATCATGGAAGATGTTGAGAAGCTATTCTGTGCACATACACACACCTACTTTTTTCTAAAAAAGGATAGGTAGAAGGTACACCATCGAATGAATAAACTCTTTTTTAAATATGTTGTTACTTGTGATATCTTGTCTTTGATTGGATCGAATTGATAAGTATCTTTTGGCATATGGGCTCATGTTCAAATGCCTTGATACTGCCTGTTGTTTCAGTTCTATGATGGAACCCAAGAAGCGCATTTCGTCTTGCTTGTGGTGATACAAGGAGCAGGATAAAAGCTATACGCTTTGCACAAGAATTGGCTGTGGTGACTCCGTAGTCTAGTCAATAACGCTTAGAAGCGACCTGTCATTGGTTTGAGTCAAATATCGCTTACTGAGAGGCAGGTAGATTCAGCTGACGAGTCTTAAGTTGGAGGGAACGTATATCCTAAATTTCACTGTTATCCATTATTCATCATTACTCTTCTTTAAACAAATTTGAAATTCATAGTGTGCGTGCGTCTGCTTTAGATAGGTATTTGAAGTAGACTGGTTTGATCACAAACTTTTATATTAATCGATAAGAAAATTTAATCACAATAACTTTTCAACTGAATTGGAAAAGAGGAACAGATACCCATTAGGCGACTTGATGCTAAAGTGCGTACTATAAGGTGTATAAATTGTGGGTTCTATCCGGTATTGTGTCGAAAGACAAACACTGTTGATGAGTCACAGACAACAATGGCATAGGTTACCTTTACTTCTTAGGTGTTTCATAATGTCATTAAGTGGTATGAAAAAGGTTGTATCACGGACAATAAGGATCAATATGACAATATGTCTACCAGAAATCTGCAAGAACGAGGGAGTACTTAGATTGCTGTAGTTTCTGTCCATTACAGTATTAATAGGAACCGTTTAGCTGACTGTTCATCCAGATTCAGCAGATAAAAAATGACAAAACTTTCGAGAAAGGAGCGTAAACACTCATCGGAGTATTATAAAGCAACAATTATTCTCCGAACTTTGTTAACCGTTACACCAATACCTTGTAAAGAGGAATCATTGTTTAGTCAATTTCAGAGAAAGATATCTATATCGTTCACAAAATCAGAGGATCAGACAAAGACTTGAAACAGCCATTCGAAAAGCCTATTATGCAACGAAGGTCAACATCATAAAGAAAATGAGATTTATATACACCTCTAAATCTTCGCATAGTTTGAATAATGGGGTCACATTAAATCAAGATTTTCAGCTTACATGAACACGTGGTCACATATACATAGGAAGAACCCGTCGATCAATGCAAGTAAAGACCGAAATATAAATCAAGTTATCACATTGACCTACGCAATAGACATCCAGTTTTATCCACAGTTAAACATGCAGCTGGAACGAGTTACAATGCTGATTTTAGTACATCTTACAAACCTATTTACATACTAGAGTTCGTTGAAGCTCTAGTTATGCGGTTGTTCAGAACCCTTTCATGTCTTCAAAAATGGCTTCAACACTCTAAAGGTAACGTATGTACTCCTTTTCGCTTTCCATCTATGCTTTGAGCTCTAAACTAACAATTCCAACTTTTATAATAAAGATTATTTCTCCTCCTTTTGCTATACTTTACACATATTTGCTTGACAAGTACCAGTGTGTATGTGACCAGACTGATTAGAATGTATTACTTCGATACATCCCACGTTTCAGGTGAGCTATATCTGTTTCCTGTTTAGTTGTAACTTCAGAAGTGAGGTTTTTTAGTATCATCCGCTCTTAGGACTAGACTACGTGGAGTTGGCTACCGTCCAGTAACCAATCAATATACCTAACTCAGTCTTGCAGGAGGTCAACCGCGGCCCGAGTAGCCCAGTGGTAACGTTGATGACTGCAACACTGAGTGACATGCATTCTAGTCTCAGGTTGGACATCACTTCCATAGAGGTTGCGGATACGCATTGCTGACGAGTACCAAAAAGCGCGAAACGTAGATTGAGTGGACCTTTCCATCGATTGCCTTCATTTAATCGAAAAAAATCATATTTTCTTTAGAATACCGTCCATTAATCTGTTTTTGATAATTAGAATTATGACAAACTTGAAATTTTTAGCTGTACACATTTTAAGATATTAGGTGATGACTGAAGGTGAAATGAAAATTCGGATCATGCCAAGATTTGAACCAGCAACCAACGGGTTCCCAGAGTAGTGTTCTACCAACTGAGCTAAGAGAACCGACTGTCGATGAAATTTTTACTTCGCTTTCAATCATCAAAGGATAGAAAAATATTTTAGGCTTTCAATCAGTTTTGCATATGATGAAGAATGTCTAAAAAAGTGTAGTGCCTATGTGTGTTGTGTGTGTGTGCACCTAAAACTTGATTTTTCTTGCACTGGATTATTATGTAATCACAACGAATTAATTAAAGATTTTGGTGAATAAGTCAAATATTTTATAACAATAAAATACCAATAACAACCAACAAAATTCATGAATCACCTAAAGGTCACACTTATTTGATCAGTAAGAATTCACTGTATCTGGTTGAACTGAAAACTGAGCATGTAGTCCTATCAGTTATACATATAGTAACGATGGGTAGTGGCTAGCAGTGGAATCTAGGATGCACGTTTCATCCTGTTTGGGACTCGTCAGCCGGGTGTACCTGCCTCTCAATGAGTGATGTTGTTCCCACCAGGATTCGGACTTAGGAGAGATTGCTTCAAACGTGAAAGCGTTATCCATTACACCACCGAAACAAGATAGCCACTTATTGTACGACGGGTATAGTTTAAGTGTTCTTGCTTGTATTACACTGTCGTTGATTGGACAGAATTGGTCAATCTGTGTCCATCATTAATACATAGTTAAGAACACAGGCAATATAGAGGCATCCACAAGTGAGCCCATATACTAACAGAGATTGATCGATTCGGTCCAATCAACGACGGTATAATACAAGCAACAACACTATAAAGTATACAGTTTAGATATTATAGCTTACAACTGGTCGTCGTTGGTTGGCCCTAATTAATCAGTCTCCTGTTCAGATGCCTCAATATCACCGGTATTTTCAGTTTGATATTAAGAATGGATAGTGAAGAGCAGTAGAATCCATACTGTGCTTTTTGTCTTGTTTGAAACTCGTCAGCTGGATGTATCTGAGTCTTAATAAGTGAATTTACTTCCACTGAGACTTGAACGTAGAACCAATCTCCTTAAATCGTCCTAGGTTTCATTGCTAAACAGTATACACGCTTATCATAAGTCATGCATCCTACAAAACATTTTTAAAACACCACCACTGTACTGTTGAAATTCTCAGTGACTGGATAATTGGATGTACTTTAAATTAGCAGTAAAGCGGAAAACTGTATTTTAGTAACTGAACTACGAAGACCAGTGGAAATGAATGGATAACAAGCCTCAATTTTTTACTTTAAATATATGTATGAGGTTAATAAGTTTTGAAAGACAACACTTTATTGGTTTAGATCTCATCTTTACGGTAGGAGTTTCCGTCAAGATCCTGGACACGTATTCGACACATGAATGCTTCTTCATACAGAAAAATTATGATGAGAGTTACAGTTTGAAAAATCAAATTCAAAAACTAAACAAACTACTGATATTATTGACCTACCTGAAATCGTCGCATATCACGTGGATTTCCAGCATTTTTTAAACAATTCTGATTGCATTTCATAAAAAATTTTAGAAAATGCCTAAAATAATAAAATGTAAATAAATCCTTTTTTTCAATTGAAAAAGAATCATTTCAACAAAGAGGTTCTTTTCTTGACCAGTATGAAATTGGTGAAAAATACTGTTAGGAAAGAAATTCTGCTGTGGACGAAACTTTAGTTTTATCATTCAATCTCTTATTTGACTGTCTGTTAAGCTATTGTCAGCCTAATTAACGGAGAAAGTTATCTCAAGTTTGTACCCATCACAAACTGAGAGGCTAGACTGTTGTCTCATCCCAGTATGTGATTCCTCAGCAGTACTTATCTATGACCAAGTTGAATGTGAGGACCGATAGTCAAAGGTGAAAATGTATAAAGCATACTCAGACAATACCGCTTTCCTATGCTCCCAGACTTCCAATCCTTCTTCAACTGATGTCAGTCCACGGTAGATACCAAATTGAAATCAATCAGTTCTCACAAACCTCTAAAATGAACAAGTTGTCTGTTTTACAGCATTCTCGGTGATAGGCACTTGACATATTGGTCAGAAAATGAATCTTTCAGTCAATGATTGTCTCAGAAACTATTCATAAACTTATCATGTCTCAGTTCATAGTATTGTGGATTTATTCATTACCCTGGTATTCCTCCTACTAGGATACACGGAAAAAACATCACTTTTCATTCCTTTTTACAATACAAATGAGTTAAGAAGTATTCTTTGCATCACTAAAGTACCCAACATACGACTATGATTTATTTTCGTCAACCGGATCTTTTTTAGATAAGGTTAGACCATAGAGTGTGTGAATTAGGTAGCTAGTACCATCATTATTCAAAATGTGAGGTTGGCTGATGATAGCTTGTGCATACATGTGGCTTAAGCCTGTTGACTTTATAAAGCAAATATTACCAGGATACTGAGTGTAACAGACCGGGAAACATGATCGTTTGTTATCTTGATATGGTGTCTTTTCAGTCGGTTGGCAGAAATTCCTGTTCCACATGGGTTTTATCCTTGTCGTCAAACAGGTAGGTGTTCAAAGAAACTAACGTCATTAAAAACACCAGTGGAAAACCACAAACTTCAAATAGTCATTTCTTTGAAAATCAGAACTATGCTGTACTAGTTGATTTCCAATGACCGTCTTGTAGTTAACAATTGAATTCTTGAATTAATCAACCAACTCAGCAGGATGCTTTGGCCTAGTGTATATAATTTAATTTATAAATATACAATCTTTATGTATACAACTTTACATAATAACATCTGTACATAAAAATATTGTTTATTTGCATGAGTATATACAATACAGGAGAACAGGAAAAAAGTAGGTGAACGAAGTAGAACTCATTAAATGAATGAAACGGATTTACAGTTTACGGTTACGTTTGGTTCTCGTCTATTTCTGTGAATAATCATCATACAGGGGTTGTAAATGTTTAGACTATAGTCACGTGTATGAAACTACTATTGTAGTAGTAGTAGTAGTATAGTGTAGAGCCCTCTTAATTATAGACGAATTTTATTTATTCTATGTTTATATGATGTATCGTTGAAATCCTCAAATCGCGTGCTTTTGTAATAAACAACACACAAGTACAAGAAATATCATGAATGTACTATGAAGTAGAGAGACGGCTAAATACCTAACTGATTTACTGAGCAATGCATATGTGTTTATTAACTTTCTTGCAACATTTAATATGTATTCATCTAACCATGACTATGACTTTAAAAGGTGGATTTCATTTATTTATTGATTTTTTGAAAACAGCTTAGTACTCATTTTAAGCAAAAAAAGAAAATACAGGGAAATCAGAGGAGGCTTCACTATTTTTCAGTGTTGTTCAAGAATATTAAAAGTACAATAATGAATATTTAATCAAATGTACAATGATGATATACTTAATTTAGAAAAGATGAAGAGTACAATACTCATGAAAATCTTTTTATTTTTCTTCCATTGATAAAGGGTTTATTTTGAAGAAAAAAAAGACTATAAGGCAAACACTTTACCGACAACAGAATCACAAATAGTTGATTCTACATTGAATTACAGTCTATTGCTCCTTAGTAAATAGCTGAGGTGTGACGACAAGTACTTGTTGATGACAATAAATGATGGTCGTGGTACATTGGAAAAATGTGAACCTGGGGGGGATTCCGAACTCATTAGTTGAACATTAACGTGCTCTTGGAGAGGTTTGATGGCGTTAGTTATGCACCGCTGAATAACCCTACACTGTTTATTCTCTGATTTACAAGGCTTCATCGTGTTCATTCAACTTGGCTACTATTTTCTTAAAGTTATTTAAAGGTTAAAAATTTGACTGATTATCAGATTCTCGCTTTATGACTGATTAAGATGTCCTAATGTTTTTTTCACAGGATCCAGAGTAGTGATAACAGCATGCAATGCTTAAAAGTATTCTATTAACGCTTAGTTTATGGTGTCCCATCAAATAGTGTCGATTTGTAATAGAGTTTGTCTGTGAATAAAAAGCACTTTTTAACCGACGGGGAGGAATTTTAACATGCTTGTAATGTACGTCATGTAATGCTGTCGTCTAATTCATAGCCATTTTTCATATTTTACTACAGTTGAGTATCCTGCGTCTTACTGAACCGAATAAGCAACAGATCAAGTGTTAGTAGTAAATAGCGAGATACTACTGTTCTGCTTCCTTCCTTCTTGGTTTTCATTTCGATTAGGACAATTTCAGCAGGTTTGTCTTTTGAAGAGTATTAAATCTCTTTTGGAATTAGCATGTTGTTAGAGGCAGATTCTTAAAGGTTGAAAAGAACGACCAACACCCACTCAACAACCTTACGCAAGCTCGTGCAGTAGGTAACCAACTACGTCAGCTGTTTATCGTGACCTCAATAGGTAGAACTGGATTCGAATTGGTGGTTCAGAGGTAATAAGTCGGATACCTAGACCTATAAACAACAGTCTCACATTTCTGTAAGTAAGGAACCAAATACCTAGGTGACTTGAGATTTTTTAAAGTTTATAGACTATAAAGAGTAATGACCTGGGAAAACTTTACCGGTTTACATATAAGGAAGAAATGATGTTATTAGACAGTCTAGTAATCGTGAAAATGAGCATATCTTTCATTATCACCTCCACTGTAGATCACATTTCAGCCTTTGATGTCGTTGAGAAATAGCAATTTATTATGTACTACTTGAAGACAGATAGATAAAGTTATTGTATTACGTAGCACAATAGTGCATCAGCTCAAGTTGCCACAGTTTACAACAGTATGCAAAGTGAAAAGAAACAAAGAATAAAGTTGAAGTAGACAAAATTGTTTTAGCTGGGGAGGGTATGAATGCATTAAGATTGATGAAGTCTTCCGAACTTTTGAGATGGACAACGAGTGCATAAATCTACACCATTGTAATCGATTTTCACTTGTATCACTGAAAGTCCTCAATTAATGTTTCAGATAATCTCTTGTGAACTCCCACCGAAAAAGCCTACACCTCTCTTCATGAGTCAGACAGCCGGTCAAAGACTACGTGATCTTGTGGCATTTCTCGGTTCCACTATCTTTAGATTTCTGACTTACTCTTGCTTCAGTTACTACTAGTATTGTTAAGACTCAACGAATTGAGTATTTTACTCGCGTCCAGATGGTTGATCTTCCGTTCTAGTGAGAATTTATTGAAAAAGACATGCAGTAATGCTCAATGACATTGCCCAGTTTCAGTAAGCATTTTTGGTTGTGTAACAAACGCGAATCTTTTTCCAGGTTGGTATTCATCATGGACTGACCCCAGTTGGAAGAACACTGGAAAACTGCTGGCACTAAACAACTGTTTCTTCCTAGTATGGGACTCCTCGGTAGTGCGCACGCCCCATCTGCCACGGATCGAACCCAGGACCTTCAGGTTCCGTGGCCAGCACGTTACCATGGAGCCACTGAGTCGGAATCCAATGGTTCATATTTCCTACTTCTATCACTTGACAACATAGCGCGATCTATATCCAATGTCATCGCTGAGTATTTGACCTCACATCAGCCAGGTTTGCCCCAGTGGTCGTGAGTTCTCATTGGAACTTCGGAAATTACCTCTGGGAGCTAGTCACCAATAAGCACTAGTTCAATTAAATTTGGGTCCAATATCTGACAGAGTCAGGGGTGCGCACTGCTGAAGGGGCCCTTACTAGGACGAAAAAGCTGCCCAGTCCTCCTAGGTTTCTAATGTTCCTCTAAGTGAAGTCAGTCCGTGATGAATTTCAATTTAAAAATCTCTTAACCCCCACAAACCCCCAAATTCAAACACTAATCTTCCGGCATGCACACTACATGTTTGGACCTTAGATGACAGGACAAACTCAAATAGAAAACTAACAGTGCTGTGGCTAGGCAAACTGGTAATATGGATACTCAATGGTGTGAAAGGAAATTCTGGGTAGTGGGAGGATTTAAACTAGTGGCTTTTAAGTTACCAACCCGGTGTTCTACCAAGTGAGACAAGCCACCCAGCTATTTACCAGATATTAGTTTCACTTCAGTCACCAAGGTTTCTGCCCGGCAGCCTTGAGAATTCATGACGCTTGACTTCTCATTCATCTCAATATGAACTGAGTTGAAATGTAAGGGGAAGCCTGAGGCCTGAAATAGTGGTAATTTTCCTGAATGACTTACTAACCTTTGCTAATGAGTTGAGATAAAAACATGAGCTTATTGCAGCGCTTTCTAGTAATTCCTTGAAAATATCTACTAGTTTACTCGCCTCAATGAAGAAGCAACTTATTCTGAATTATCAACTGGCCACAACAATCCATTTTTAAGAATTTTGGTTGGTACTGAGTGATGATTGGAGGTGAGATGAAAGTTTTGGACAGCGGTAGGATTCGAACCAGCAACCACCGGGTTTCTGGCTCGGTGCTCTACCAACTGAGATACAAGGCCTGATTGCTGACCAGATTTTAATTTCAATTCGATCACCAAGGATTTTGACGAACTACCATGTGAATTCGTGAGGCGTTAATATCGCTTGATCGTATTCGCACTAG